GATCTAATTTAACTTGAAATGTTTCATATTTAATGTGAAAAATATCAAATTTTACGTAATATAATTAATTCAATGTTTGATAAATAAAATTTAGTTGGAATTAATAAGTTTGAAACAAAACAGTAATCGAGATCGGGGTGTTAATAACCTTTAATGCATTGAATCATTAATGCTGCTTTCTTGTTAAATTATTGTTAAAAAACAAATATTTGAGACAAATATTGCAATATCATTTTCATAATACTGTGTAATCAAATTGTATATACATAAATAAACATTCTAATTATATTTAAATTGCACAAATTTTTTTGCGTACTCTGAAGTACTCTATCGTACTCTAGCGTACTCTGTTTAGTAGTACCCGATCTCGTGACTCCAAAATAGTAGAAAAAATTTTCCATTTGACTCTACATATTTTAATTGTTTATTGTGTTAATATTATGGCTGTTTCTTCTAAGTTGGGCTTTTCACATGGCTTCCACGTTTCAAAGGTAAATTCCTTGTGACAAGACCTTTTATTTGGGTACCACCAATTTTTACCTTTAGATCTCTTGACCTTGGAATTTGACCCCCTTTTACAAGAAAAATACCAAACTTTAAACTCGGTCTAAGTTTTGAGCAGTTGGTGCTAGGGCTTTCATGCTATGTGTATTCATTGTGAACTTCCAACAGGTAAAAATATTTTTGACCTTGACCCTAGAGTTTGACCCACTTTAAAGATAAACTTTAACCTTGGCAATAACTTTTGAACAGGTGCGGAAGTTCTATGGATTTCTCTCTTATTTCACATGTGTATTCCTTGTGACAAGACTTTCCTTTTGATATCAACAATTTTGACCCTTTGACCTTGACCTTGGAGTTTGACTTACATTTGAGAAACTTCAACCTTCGCCAAAAGCTGCCATACAGGGGCATCAGTGTTTCACAAACACATCTGATCTTCGTTATTTTTAAGTAGTGCATGGTTTCTCCATATGAGAGAAAATTCCCGAGAGATGTTTTAACAAAAATTAAGCAAATATTACTAAAAGAAACAGTATACATGTACATATTTTATATTCAACAGATATACTTCTGGTCATATCTCTAGTTCTCCCTTGAATCAGACGTGATGATATATATATTTTAAAAATAATTATTCTAAGAGTTGAAAAGGTTGTGCATATTAAAAAAGACGACTTTCCAAAAACTTGTCAATCATACATTTTTAGCTAATTTGAGCTTTTCTGGTTTGCTAATCACATTTTGTCCGTCGTCCATCTGTTTGTCTGCAAACTTTTCACATTTTGAACTTTTTCTTTAGAACCACTGGGCCCATTTCAACCAATTTACATAGAAATATGCAGGGAACTTATTCCATCACAAATCTTCTTCTCAAGAACAGCAAGGACAGCTATTGTCCCCCATTTTCGCGAAAGGTAGGGGACATTAAATCTTATATGTATGTCAGTCTCTCCGTCTGTCAAAATAAATTTAACCTTGGTCATCATGGTCATGCCTTTTGAATGAGAAGAGACAGGACTTTCATATTAAACATGTGTATTAGTATTTACCTGTGACAATACCATTCTAAATATACTATGAATTTTTGCATAAAAAACGTCGTTTTTCGACCCCCATTTGACCCCCCGGGCAAAAATGAAAATTCCGAAACATAACTGCACATCTACATGACACCACCAACCATCTCCCACAAGGTGATTAGGCTACTGAGTAAAATGTAGGAGGAGTTCAGGGAACACGGGGCTTTTTGCACAAAAAAAGTCTTTTTTCCATCCCCATTTGACCCCCCGGGGCAAAATCAAAATTCCGAAACCTTACTGCACATCTACATGACACCACCAACCATGTCCCAAAAGATGATTAGGCTACTGAGTAAAATGTAGGAGGTGTTCAGGGAATACGGGGCTTTTTGCATAAAACACTTCATTTTCGACCCCCATTTGACCCCCCGGGAAAAAATCAAAAGTCCGGAACCTTACTGCACATCTACATGACACTACCAATCATCTTCCAAAAGATTATTAGGCTACTGTGTAAAATGTAGGAGAAGTTCAGGGAAGACGGGGCTTTTTGCACAAAAAGCGTCACTTTTCGACCCCCATTTGATCCCCCGGGGCAAAATCAAAATTCTGAAACCTTACTGCACATCTACATGACACCACCAACCATCTCCCTAAAGGTGATTAGGCTACTATGTAAAATGTAGGAGTTTAGGGAACAGGGGGCTTTTTGCACAAAAAATTCATTTTTCGACCCCCATTTCACCCCCCGGGGCAAAATCAAAATTCCGAAACCTTACTGCACATCTAAATGACACCACCAACCATCCCCCTAAAGGTGATTAATAGGCTACTGAGTAAAATGTAGGAAGAGTTCAGGGAACACGGGGCTTTTTGCATAAAAATCGTCGTTTTTCGACCCCCATTCGACCCCCGGGGCAAATCAAAATTCCGAAACCTTACTGCACATCTACATGACACCACCAACCATCTGCTAAAAGATGATTAAGCTACTGTGTAAAATGTAGGAGGAGTTCAGGAAAGAAAAGTGTGACAGACGGACGGACATGAGTAACAACAATATACCCGAACTTTCTTTAGAGAGTGCGGGTATAAAAATTAAGAAATTCGAGAATTAACGGTAAACATAGAATACAGTAAAACTCGTTTAGTACGAACACGGATATAGCGAATTCACGGATATAGCGAAGTTTTTCGGGGTCCCCGGCAAAATTCTTAACAATTCTTTGTAAAATTTTACGGTTATAACGAACTCTGACATAGCGATTTTACGGATATAGCGAACTAATTTTGAGTCCCGTAGAGATTAAAAATAATGTAATTTACATCTTTTATAACGAATTTTCAAAGATCTCAAAATTTGATATTTTGAACTTACTTTATTTTACTAAGTATTTGTATATAAAATTCAATTTATTATAAAACCTTACTTATTCAAAGTATGTTTTGTATTAATTGCTTAACTAATACTTTTGGCAGAAATTCTTGAAAGAAAATGTGCATATTGCGAATTCGCTATATATAGTTATACGAATTCGTTATACGGATATAACGAATTACGGATATAGCGAATTAAATTAAGCGGTCCCAAGAACTTCGCAATAACCGAGTATAGATATTTGATCTTCAGTAATAAATACCTTATCTATTTTCTTCTATACACTAGTTTGATAAGACGTCTTGAAATATATAACAAATAATGGCACAGGTAGGACGTGTTTTCTTTTTGTTCAAACAAATACACTGTAAGTCGATTTAGCTTGAAATTCTTCAATTTCTTAATAGAAAGGTCATTAATTAACTACTATAATTAAAGAAGTCAATGTCGCGCGCGTGTGCAGTGGTAAGAGCGTTTTCTCTTTGGTCCAAGAGGAGGGAGTTGAAACTTAGTTTGTTGGTTGAAAACCCACGGCTGGACGGGGAGACTTGTCTTTCGGAAAAGACAGTATGCACCGAAGTCCAGCGTCGCAGAAGGTTCTACAAGAAATGGATCTCATACTGCTCATTAGTCCTCAGTGTTGAATACAGTATAGGATTTCGCACTGGAGAACTCGTCAATAGATTGGAAAAATCTGCCTCGCAAGAAAAGCTATGATTAGTCTTATTAACACATTTCCATGAAGAATTGAAAATACTTGTACTCTCATTCATTTATCGACTTTATAGAATGACCTCGTACTACAAATAAGTCAAATGCGTTTTTTTTCATACTTTACTAATTTGGTAAGGCATTAGTCTACGATTTAGCTCACCTGAGCCGAAGATTCGGGTGAGCTTTTCCAATCACATTTTGCCCGGCGTCCGTCTGTCCATCTATCCGTAAACTTTTCACATTTTCGACATCTTCTTAACCATATTCATGAGGGAAGAAGATTCAAATTTGTTCAAATGAAGGGCCACACCCTCTTTCAAGGGGGAGATAATTAAGAATTAGTGGGGAAAAAATATTGGCATCTTTCAAAAATCTACAGGGCCAGGAGAGATGAAACTTCTGTGGAAGCATCCTCCGGTGGTGTAAATTCAAGTTTGTTCAAATCATGAACCCCAGGGGTAAGGTGAGGCCACAATGGACGATTAAATTTTTACATAGGGATATATAGGGAAATTCTTTAAAATTTTTCTTATCAAGAACAGCAAAGCTATGATTGGTCATATTTATATGGAAGCATCCTTAAGTAGTGTAGATTCAAATTCGTTCAAATCATGACCCCTGAGGTGGAATTGTGCAACAATTGGGGGTTAAATTTTCATACAGAAATATGAAAGAAAACATCATTAAAAATCTTCTCAAGAAAATTAAAGCCATGATTGATCATATTTATATGGAAGCATCCTTATGTAATGTTCAAATCATGTTAAACATAGGGATATATAGGAAAAAGTCTTTTTCTTAAGACGAGAAAAGCCATGCATAGTCATATTAAAAATGGAGGCATCCTCAGGTAACGTAAAATCAAAGTTGTTCAAATGAGGGCCCCAGAGGGTTCGGCTGGGCCAAAATGGGGTCAACATTTTTCAAATCAATAAACAGAAAAAAAAAACTTCTGCTCAAGAACAGAAAAGCCATTTCTTATGTTGATAATGGAAGCATCATCTGGGAAATTCATGCCCCCACCCCTCAATGTAAACTCTTCAATGCTGAACTAATTTTTGCTCTTCTCAAGGTGTGCTAAGGTGAGCGATGTGGCCCATGGGCCTCTTGTTTTTTGTTTTTTTTTGTAATTAAACTTTTTCCCCGAGGATGTGACCGGTCGGAGGAGGATGCTAACTCCTCCATGGTACCTGATATTACCTCTTGGGAGGTCTGTGTTTCCCTGCAACTGATTTGTAATGTGTGAATGGATTTATAGACTTGCACACTTTTTTATTTCCATAAATTTCGTTTATATAATTTAATCGGTATTGAATTGATTCCCACTTTTTCTAACCAGTCTGCTCAATTGAGTGATATGGCCCATGTGCCTCTTATGATACAAAATGTTTTATCTTTACGTTTACACTATTTTTGAGAAACCTTTTGAAAACTTTTGGTTGGAGGGAATAGTTCCTGCCGTCTTCACTCCTTTTCAAGATGATGGGTATGTAGCGTTTGTTTTCAATCATTATTAAGTGAGATATATAAGATCTGAATTGATTATATATACGGTCCTAACTAAAACATGTATTATATTATTAAAGATAATAACAAACGCTAAACGAACTTGTTAAAGTTGAAGAAATATATTTCTAAATTATCAATTTTTCTTAGCGAGCTAAATTTACCCAAAATTGACGAATATTGTGCTTTCTTGGTGAAAAATGACATCAATGCTATTTTTGGTAAGTTTTTATTATACATACAGGACAGTATGATGTGTTTCAACTTAAATAAATTTAAGTATGTCAAGTAGAAATATTTACATTTGCAAATATTTTTCTTAGATGAACCTGTTTAAGAGAAAATATGTTAAAATCTGTATGAACTTATATGGGGGTCAAAGGTCATAGCACGACCGAATCACACAGCGAGATGATATCTTCTTTACATACATTTCTGTCTCGTTTCGGAAATACTAAGTGAAAAAGATAAAATAACTGAAACATATAGATATTTTTCATTCCATGAATGTTCAATAGATCTTCCTTAGTGAAGAATGTTTGAAATACTATAATTAGCCTAAAATAGCACTTACCTTTTTAACCCGAAATGCCTTGGAAGTTATGTAAACTGAAAAAGGAAATTTCACTGCTTTTGACTTTAAATATATACGGAACTCATGATATAGTAAAATTATTCTCAGTGTGGATCATTGTTCTTACATTATAAACAAGGAATAACTAAATTGGACTGCTGCACATCATAGTATTAATGTAAATATTCAAATGCTGGAGCGAGGCGAACTTTCAAGACCAAACAACTTCTAGGCCATTGAGCGTCCGTTCGAGTAATAAATGCAGTTTTATTAGGAATTAATTCGTCTCGAAAGTAAATATAAGTGATGACCAATAATGTTAAAATGCTTACTGGGAAATGAACTTAATTGGTGCGTGATCAAATCTACTGAGAAGCCCTTCGGGCTTTACAGGATTTGATCACGTGACCAACTTAGTTCATTTCTCAGAGAACTTTAACATTGTTTATTTCTTAAAGAAAAAAAATGAGCAAAGATTTAATTGAGATATTGCCTTTATAATTTAACGTATCGAGATATATTTGTTTGAATTTAAAATTTATCCCATTTCGTTTGTTTGATATAACCTATCTAAGGAACTATATTAATCACTAATGACATTTACTAGTTAATGGTACGACGGGTGAAGGAAAATCTTTGACAAAGGAAGAAAGAAAGAAGGTAGTTGAAAAATGGATCACTTCAGCAACTGGAAGGTTTGTAATTCCAGGTTATTTTTCTGAGAGGGAGAGAGAGAGAGAGAGAGCATGGATTTAGATAAAGATGAGTCAACAAAGTGATCGGAATGCATAATAGTACGTCAATTTTGATTGTTTGTCTATTGTTAAACGTCCCTTTCGAGAATTTTCACTCATATGGATAGACGCCACCACTTGTCGGTGGGGAGCTGCAAATATACTCGGCACTAAGGGCTACTGAGCAGTGAGGGGTCTTTTTCGTGCCAGCACCTACTGTGACACGGGACTTTGGATGGTATCATCCGAAGGACCGGTCTCCGCGTCACTCAGTACTAGTGGAATTCAAATTCGCGTGGTGAGGATCAACTCCTTACTTCGCGAATCTAGAGCAGACCACTGCGACACGCCAATTGTAAGGTGAAAATTTGAATCTTAAAAGTACTTGGACACAGATTTGAAGTTAATATTTCCCCTATAATATTACGACTTATATATTTATATAAACTTTATACATCACATTTGGCTCGGAATGACGATACTTGTGAAGGAGTTTTGCTTTCTAACATTTCTACTCTGAATAAAATTATTTTTCTGAATTAAAGTTTTAATATTTCTCATTAATACACAACAAGATTGCCACTTTTCCTAAGGATGAAGAATAAAGTTAAAATTTGTGAAAGTGAAAGGATGTATCAATCAAACTCGCCAAAAAATTGAAGTTTTAATAACTTTTAAATGAAATAAGATTTTTAATTAATTTTTGTGTGAAATGCTTTTAAAATATATAATTCGTGATATTATACAGAAAATATTAACTTCAAATCTATGTCCAAGTACATTTAATCATATCAAACAGAAAACAGAACGGAATGCGGAACGGAACGGAAAATTTATGTCAAACAAATAATCCAGATTTGATATCAATCAAATATATAAGCAATGTTCTTGATTTAAAAGTCATATCTAATAAAAATTATCGTATACTATATATTCATGGACCATGCACACCCTCAGAACTTACGTAAACATGCGATTGTCTATAAAATACATACTAACTAGACTCAAATCCTGAGTATCCATGCATTCATAAAAGATATTGTTTTGAAATAGGCAGAAGGTAGAAAAAAAGACTACTGATACATATATGTACATATATGAATTATACGTGTATCTGCCATAACCTTTGAACCATGAAAGATAGAGACTTCATTTTTGGCATACTTCACTAATTTTAAAAGCTGTTTCAAATGACACCAAGGTCAATGACCTTGTGACCTTGACCTATATGCTAAAAATAGCTTTTTCAAACCTTCACCATAACTTTTGAACCATCAGAGAAAGAGACTTTGTATTTGGTGTGCTTACTCCACTAATCAAGTTCTTTCAAATTACACTAAGGTCAATGACCTTGTGACCTTGACCTGTATGCTAAAAATAGGTTTTTTTAAAAAAACTTTGTTGCCGCCGGGACATAGTGTTTCATAGCTGCAGATCTGTAGCTCTCCGAAAAAAAATATATTGACAGACCGGGGAGCTACAGTGCCACCCACTGAAAAAACTGTATATTTATTGCGCACAAAAAAAGTGCGCTGTTTCTCGATTTATTTCTCCATGTTTTTAAACTGTCATCTCAAAATATTACTAACCGTTGTTCCTTACATATTCTTTCACTGTTTCCACAACAAAACATTCCTTATAATTTTTGTTAAGAGCCCTCCTGGACCTGAAATCGAGATCATCGAAAATTTCGTCTATTTATACTGCCATTTTGGTTTGCAAGATAATTCGGTCCAACGCACATCGTGCAGATGTCAACTACGAGAGTACTTCAGAGAGGAGTAAGGAATTTTTAAAAATCTTTTTCGCGATTAAGGTAAAAATTTGGAAAAATTAATCCAGAACTAAGCACAACTTTTTGTGCGCAATAAATAAACAATATTTACAATGGGTGGCACTGTAGCTCTCCAGTCTTTCAATCTATTTTTTTCGGAGAGCCACAGATCTGCAGCTAAGTGTTCACAAACACATATTGTTTTTACATTTTATATCTCTTACCGTGGTTCATCTGAATATCAGATATTCCTTTTTTTCAAACATAATTTTTTTCACTTCGCATAATATTTGGTCCGCCTCGTTTAAAGGTCCGGCCGGACCAAATACGATAACATATTAGGTCCGCCTGGCTCTATAAGAAAAGGTCCGCCCTCGGCCTATTATACAAATTGGATGCCTGTGTTCATTCGATATTAATTGAAAACTATTGTTTAAAAATTAATTGAGGATATAAAGTCGTATTAATAGCTATAGTGTTTCCTCCAAGAGAATGTAGTAAACAATAAGTAAGAAATTAATACATAAATAATATATTTAGTAAAGAAATGTATAGATTTATTGATCGAGTTTCCTGTCGGGAAGATGGGACATGCTTATTTTGTCGTTTAAATACACTGGTATCAACATTATCATTTAAAAAATATTAAGAATACAAATGTACATACATTTACCTTCACCGCCTGTTTACTGACAGATTAATCAGTATGCAATGAACAGATGAATGTTCGTAAGTCCAACACAAATCATTTAGTTACACTCTCTTTCCAATTAGTACATGATAAACGTCCGACTTCCACTCGCAAAAAAAATTCACATCACATAAATTATTTCTTTATAGTATTAATATAAAAATTGTCATTCTTTACGTTTAATATTGTTGTCAATAAGTGGAGGGTAACTGTGACAGGGGCTTATGTCACGGTGTACTACCCTACACCCGTTATTGTAAAAACAACATGCCTGCGGATTGGGCAGTTGGGGGTTAGTCTATAATTGTCTCGTTTGAGAAAACCTAAAGTACCATATCCCCTGTGTTTTTATAAGTTAACACTGTTTCTTACCTATTCAAAGGCTAATAATTATATCTACTAGATCTCTGCATTTCATTTCCTGAATTTTGCATTGCATTTTTCCGACAATTTTTTTTATTATTTCGGAATTCGACATTTTTATTTTCATTTTTTTTTTCACATTTTTGGATTTTTTAAAAGATACCTTCATGGCACTTTAAGGTTAACATATATAACAAAGATGGAAATAGATTTTTAACAGGGTATTGTATATATGTGTTATATAATATTATTTATGACGGAAGTATGATTTTTTTTTTTCATTGCCGAAAAATACTGACATGAATTTGACAAATGTCGGAGATGAAAACTTTTAAAATGTAAAAACTGTCGGAAATGAAAAGTTAATTTTAATTTTTTGAAAATTCCGGAAATGAAATGGGGCCTAATAAATATTACTCGAGGACAAAGTAAATGTGCATTACTTGGCGAAATGCCTTTATTATTCATATTTAATATACATGTCGCTCATAAAAAATCTCTGTGCATTAATGATATACATGTATTTATACTTATTTCTCTCGGTTTCAATAAAAATCCGAACATTTTATACGCCCCTCCTAAATGTTTTTTTTTTTGGCGAGGGAGGGGAGGGGGCGTAGTAAAATCACGCGGATACGTGTCAAACAATTAAAAATATTAAAGAATACCGGTAATGTACTATATATCCCACATTTTCCCCCCAGAAAAAAGAGCTTGAGTTTAGAGACACCCCCAATTTCAGAAGCCTGGCATACTAGAATTTCCATTTAGCATCTAACAAACAACCCCGACTTGATTTTCCACCAGAGAAATACTGCTTCAGTACAGATTTTTTTCTCCCTTTCCACTGCTTTACGAGCTATAGGAAGAATTTTTTCAACCAATACACATTAAAGAGAAACTTAAAACGCATCCATTTTTAAAGATAAATTAAATAGAAATAGTCTTTTAATATCATGACGTATCAAAAACTTCGTTGTCAGGCACGTAGCATCGTTTTTGAAAGTAGTGGGGGGGGGGGGGGCAACCTGAGAAAATATTTTTTACTCACCCAAAAAAAGTTGACAAGCAAAAAAAAAAAAAAAAAAAAAAAAAAGAAAAAGAAAAGAAAAATTGCCCAAACTCGAACGAAAACCCTATATCGTGGGGGGGGGGGGGAGGGGGGTAGTTGCCAACTTCTTTCGAGGCCAACTTCCTTTCACTTCCAATTCATTCCCTTATTTTCTTGCTATAAATATACTGTGATAAAAAGTGGGGGGGGGGGGCAATCATCTTCTCAATGGACATTTTCTAAAGCAAAGGTAATGTTGGGGAAAAAAGTGGGGGGGGGGCAGGCCCCCCTGTTGCTACGTGCCTGGTTGTAGCTACTTGGTTAACCTTAGATTTTTTTATGACTGATTTCTTTTTATCATCGGCCACAGCAGCGGCCGATCTATTTGTGATTGTGTTAGAAAGGGCACATATGGAAATGAATGTTCTTTTTTTGTATTAGTTCAGTAAAATAATTTTCAAATGATTAATGATAACGTGTAAAATCATGAGTAAAATATTTTTAAAAACTGTTTTAAACTAAATATTAATTGTTGTTAGTTATGTATCACCTTCAGTCATTTCTCGTCAGATAATTGACAATTTATGGTTATACAAAAAAGAGTTTAAAATAGGTACTCACTGACTTGGGAGTGTGTAAGATATGGAAGAAAATCGTCATGATTTTCCGGATAATAATGACATTGTGTAAGTGCATGGTTTATAATAAGAATTGAAAAGTTGTTCAATTTGTAAAAAATTATTTTGAATATGTTAGAACTGCGAGTGACATAAGGATAATATCTCTTCGTTTTGCACCGTGCCTTGCAGCGTAGCCTATCCTATCCTGCAGAATCCAGTGACATTATCATGTGACAAAGATCCAGATGGTTCATCTTGACAGGCCTACATCTTCATTTTGATGACAATAAATTCTTATCAGTTCTCATTGAAATTTTTACATAGATAAATCCATTTTATGAGCAAATGTACTAAAATTTCTACTTATCTATTTTTTAAACTACATGTATTTATTTCGTGTTGAAGCAGTCTGAAATAAAAATGATCACTATTTCAGTTTTCAATATCGTGTGCTTTCCTAGC